TATATATACATTTACCTTTTGCCTAGCAACTTCTAGTACAGAAATCTATCTCAAAGATATACTATCAAAATTATGTAAGCACAAGCTATTGTTTGCAGAATTATTTGTAACAGCAGAATGGTAACAACAGTGAATTGGCATCTATCCAGTGAAGTATAGCAGTCAAAAAGAAACAGGCAAAATTTCTATCCCCATCTCTCGAATAAAATTTTAAGTTTAAAAAAAAGGTGGGAAAAAGTGTGACTAATATGCTACAATTTAATCCAAGGGGAGAGAGAAATATATACATAAATAAATACAAATAGCCTGCACATTAAAAAAAAGAAGAAAGGAACATAAAATTGAAGAAGTTTTTAAAAACGTTTTCCAGGCTGTAATTGCAGCACACTGGGAGGCCAAGGCCTGAGGTCAGGAGTTTGAGAACAGCCTGGCCAATGTGGTAAAACTCCATTTCTACTAAAAATATAAAAACCTGCCAGGCGTGGTGGTGGGTACCTGTAATTCCAGCTACTAAGAAGGCTGAGGCAGGAGAATCACTTGAACCCAGGAAGCAGAGGTTGCAGTGAGTCAAGTTGGTGCCACTGCACTCCAGCCTAGGCGACAGAGTAAGACTCTGTCTCCAAAAAAAAAAAAAAAAAAAAAAAAGTTAGCCAGGTGTGGTAGCACACACCTGTAGTCCCATAGTCCCAGCTACTCGGGAGGCTGAGGTGGGAGGATTGCTTCAGCCACGGAGATTGAGGCTGCAGTGAGCTGTGATCATTCCACTGCACTCCAGCCTGGGTGACAGAGCTACACTTTGTCTTGGGAGAAAAAAAGGTGTTATTAGGAGGGAGATAAGACAGTAAGTGAGACAAACAGAAATTAGACTTATACAAATATAGTTAGCTTTATAGATTTGGCTTTGGAAGCAGATTTTATATCATTATAAAATAAAAGGTAAATTTTTTAAAACTCAAAATTAAAAGATAAATGAAACAAATCAGCCTAACTATATGCAGTTGGTGGTTAAGATCACAAAATTGAATTACAAATGTATAGGAAACACAAGGAACAGAGAAACATAAAACCCAACCACAAGGATGCAATCAGCAATATCCAGAATGTGGCAAATGCTACAGGACAGAGGATCAGTTTCCTAAACACATTACAAGGAAAATGATGAGATGGAGAGAGAACCTATGGATTTAAAAAGTTTTATAAGTGACATATGAACCAATTGGAATACATGGATTTTATAGCCCTTGCTCTGAACAATTAAAAAAAAAAGGAAACAATCGGAAAAACCCAAAAACTGACCAGATAGTTGATGATACGAAGAAATTTGTCGATTTTTCTAGATGTGATAATGTATTGTGGTTTTTGTTTAATTCTTACTTTTTAGAGGGACACACTTTAGTATGTCGACTGGGAATCTTTTTTTTTTAAACTAATTTCTGGGGCTACAGATATAACTGATCTGGTATAGGGCCCAGACATCATTTCATTAAAACTGCCACAGATGATTCTAATGAGCAGCCAGGCTTTGTAAACTACTTATCTAGGGCAGTTAAATTAACAGGATAAATAAAACTCACCTAGTTATCAATCAAACTGCATGCCTCCAAAAGTACTCCTCTTGGACGAATCTGCATATACTATTGACATTAAAGGATAAAACGGACATAACTGAATTCTACTGTGCTTATTTTTAAGGTACTTGTAACAATTAAATAAATGTTTACTTAGCTCTCTAATTTACATAGCTTCCTAAACTAAGCAAACTTTTCTTGACTTCCTATATATACTGAACAAACCAAGAACAACAATGCAAAACCCTTAAGGACTAGTAACAATTGTGATCTATAAACATAATTATCAAGAGATTAATGAGAGCACATCTTCAATAAAACAACTGGACTGGAGTGCTACCAATCTGAACTACAGAAGAGGTTACTTTGGGTGCATGAGACAACTTCTTTCCAACTTAGTTTTATTTCTCTTATCTTGCCTTTTCAAAACTTGTACACAAACAGTGCAGTAAGAACTGGCAAGATTTCTATCCCCCTTATTGATTTTCCCAAGGGAAAATCCTGAATAAACCCACCTTAGATAGGAAGATAAGCAGAAAAGGGCTAAATCTATGTATCTATCTAAATATATGTAAATAAAAATCTATACATATGCAAATGAAAAAAATATATGAAAGCTCAGGAAAAAAAAGTTATCACATTGAGCTTTTGTGTTTAGTTACCTATCCAGAAAGGCTTTGTGGCAGTGATATATTCCAAAATGTTTGAGATCAGGGAAAAAATAGCTACTTGCCTCCGGAAGTTTGTGATTATGTTTCAGCTGTTATTTGAACACCACTAAATTTGAACAGGTCTAGTTCTTTAGGGTTGAGGTATAAACTGTTTGAAGAAAATTATTGTAGTAGGAGAATATATAGCTCTTTAGAGGAGGCTATTTAAGGAAAAAATGATGACCTCAGCTAAATGGGAAATTGGCTTTGCTGTATCTGTACGTGAGAAGAAATAAACTTGAGGTCTGAGAGAGAAAGTTGGAGGAGTAGGAAAAAAGCATAGAGGAACAAAGAGGACAAACTATTAGACAAACTATTAAACAGCAATACTGAGTAAGCAGGTTCCATCAATAGGACAGAATTACCAATTAAGTAAGCAATTCAAAGTTGTGATTAGACAGGATGGATGTTTTATAAATAGTTGCTAATCAGCATATGAGTGTTAAAACTAGGTAAACACTGTATTCCAATTGAATCTAGTTTGACCTGTAATTCTAGTTTATTAAACCTTTTCTGGGGCTTTATTTTCCAGCCTTTTCATATCTACAGGTGTTCTCTAACATATTTTCTAGATTTCTATTTCTTTACATTTGCTTAGAAAGATAAAAATACAAAATGCTAAAATTTTAGTTAAATCTAGGTTCTATTTGGAAAAAAACTCATACCCAATAAGGTTAGGTTTCCTATAAAAAGCATGATTTATTTCAAAATAAATTATTTCTTCCTCATAACTTAGATTTACAACCAAACATACCGTTTGAGGACAGTGCATCTGATATAGTTTGTCTGTTCAGTGTCTCAACTTTTCTTTCCAATGTCTTAAGATTTTTGCCCTTTGTATTTTTTGATACCCTAAAAGTAATTTCTAGCACACAATTCATAACTCAAGCCATTTTGTGGATAAGAAAAAGATTAGTATCTAGTCTGCTTAAGGAGAGAGTGGTCTCTAATAACGGTATTATTTTAATACTTCTAGAAGGAAAAATGTATCACAGTGTATAGTGAAATCACCAAGAAACAGCACTATACATATTTTCCTTGATACAAAAGTCATACACTATTGTATACTTATAAGTGGCAATAAGACACTCTATTATTTAATATTACAATGTTTATACACAACTTTTTGTTCTCAAAAATACTTTGACATTCCATTTAGCATTTTATAGTGCTTTTTCTGAAAAGGTCCAAGTGAGAAAAGGAATTATTTCAAACACAAATAGTAAACATTTAATGGTATATGGCAGAATAAGCACTGCAAGTCAACAGACCTGTTTCTAATCCCAGCTCTGCCTGTAACTAGCTATGTAACCTCATGAGTCACTAAATTCTGTTTCTTAAATTGTAAAGTAGTTCTTAATGTTTAAATCTGAATTTCTAAAAATCCACTACAATTAAAGTATTTTCAAATATTACATTACAATAACAGCCCAATTAAATGTATGTCATTTTGCCATACGTTTTTAGTCTTTCACTTTTGTCTCAATTTGACCTGAAGCCTGGATCACTTAGTCTGCATACTCAAGACGTACTCTGGAGCAAGAGGGACTAGGGAAAGATTCTTTTAAGATGGGATGATGCTGAGCAGGTTAGGCAGTTAGCAATGAGTGCACATGTATATAGGAGACCTGGTCATTCTCAAATAAGGCGCAATGAAGAAGAAATCTGCTCCGGTGGGAATTGTGGGTTGGGGAAATACGTTGCAACAAGATGCGAGGAAGGCCTTGAGCTGAGATTGTCAGGTAACCACACCTTCCACCCTTCAAACTATTCTCCCAGTGGAATCCAAACCAGTCTCCAGTTCCGGGTTCCCAACCAATCGCATCAAGCCACAACAGAGGGTTCTGCCAACCCAGGCACCGCTTCAGGGATCTGGGGTGAGATTCACACAACCCCAGCACCTGTCGACCTCATACTCTTCCCAAATGGAGAGGGTGGGAAGAAACGTTAGGTGTATGCTTGGTCTCTTCCGATTCAAGCTACCACCAGGTCCACTGGCCCTCGAAAATGAAACCCCTGGACTTAAGGGCGAAGGGGAACCTCCTCTGCCGTGACCCTCCCACGAATCACTCTCTCACGGCTAATTTCTCCGATTCTCCACCGATCCGGGTTTCTCAGGCCTCGGGGACTCCGCGCCTGGGAAGCAGACAGATGGATGGCGAGACTAAAGGCAGCGGGGGTGGGTGCACTCCAAAAGAGTGGAGGAAAAAACATGAAAGCAGGGGCAGGGGCAGGGGTAGCAATGCTCCCCCTGGGCGAGGGCGAGAGGCCGTTCGTGCGTCTGTTGATGGGTCTGTCATTCCCTCCCTCACTCACCAGGAGCAGCAGGGAGCATCTGAGGTCGGGTAAGGATAGGAAGAGGGCAGGATTCATGGTAACGCTGGGGTCCGCGGCAGGGACAGGCGTTGGCGGCTGGGACTGGGCTGGGCTGGGTTGGGTTAGGAAAGGGCTGGGCTCCGGGAGCCAGCGGCAGCCGAGGATTCTCCAGGCAGCGGCACCCCGTCCTCTCGACCCGAGCTCCAGCAGCGAACACCCGGGACAACTTCCAGAGAGGCCTCTCACACCCTCACTTCCGGGTCCTGCCCACCTCGGAGCACTTCGGGAAATGTAGTCCTGTATTGACCTCACCCCGCACGTTGTCGGTCATCTAGAACTCCCTTTCCCATTGGGCTCTCGGCCCAGGTCCACCGAGTCCTCTACGCGCAGGGTCCTGTGGGATAGAAGGGCGGAGGGCGGGTGTACCCCGTGCTTCGAAGGATGGGAACTACAATTCCCAGAAGACTGTGCGGCGAGAGCCTCGGGCGCCCTTCGGAGGGGGCTCCTCTAGTTTCACTGCCGTGGGGTCTGACCTGGCTCGGGTACTGTCCCGGCCCCGCGGGAGGGGCGGCCCGGTCCGGGTCGCACCTCCTGGAGCCGTCCCCGGGACGTCAGTCCTGGAGGAGGCGAGGGTGAGTAGGAGGGCGCCTGGCTGGGGAGGCTAGGATAGATCGGTCTGCACCGCCTTGACCTCTGCTGCAGACTCACGGCCCTCCTGGCCTGGGCTGTGGCCTGAGCCTCCATCATTAGCCTCCTCGCCCGCAGCGTCTTCTTTCTGCGCGAATTCCTGCATTATAAAGTCGAAGTCGCCACTCGGGGCCTCAGTTGAATGGGTCAACGCCTTACCCCTAACTGTCTCTGAGGGCTCCTGTAAGGAGGAGATGTGGTAAGGGATGGGATAGCACGTCGTAAACTGGAAAACTCTGTGTGAGTGATTGCTGCTAAGGCGTGGATTGCTCCTACAATATAATTACGAAATTCCTTAGCCAAGCAGTCGAGGATCTTCACCTGGCCTCAGGTAGTTCTGCGGCATCTTCTGCAAACACTCAGTGAGGTCCAGGCGCCCACGCGATCTCTGCTTAGTACCCAGGAGGCACACCGTGCTTTTGTGGTTCTCCCTACTCTCGCCTTTGCTCCAGCTTTCCTGCTGCCTGGAATGGCCTTATCCCGTTCTTTCTCTGGAATGCTATCTTAAATGTCACCATCTCTGAGAGCTTCCCAACCAACCAACCCTTTAGTCCTAATCAGAATTACTCTTCCTGTGAGTGTGACTGCAGTACCACTAGTATTGTACGGTTATTATTAGAGCATTTATTACACGGGCTTGTATAATTAGGCAAGGATAATGACACTTTTGTGTTTTATAGCACTTTAACAGAATGGTTTTGATTTTTATTAAAAATGATTTATTTTTTTAAAGAGACAAAAAAATACATTTTTTATTTAAAAGGCCCTAGAGAATGGCTTTCTCACGGCGACAAAATTAAACAGTGGCAGAGACAACACTCTTACCAGGGCCGGCTGATTCTTACACTAGTGCTCCTATCTCTTGTCCATGTCCCTGACAGAGCCCAAAGATAGTTGAAATGGAAAATTTTAAAAGAGCAGAGACTCGTAAGTGTGAACTCATTATTCAAGAAATTAAACTTTGATCCTGCTCACTGTTTGGACTTAGCACTCAGCCTGCGATCTTTCGTCTAACAAACATCTACTGAGTACCGGCTATATACCTGTTACTGTGTTGAGTGCTAAGGATTATGAGGTAAAAAGTATATGTATATATATGCATATATATATACACATACGTATATAACAGATCACATTTTTAGTGTATTTTTCAAAAGATATAAAGGACTTTTTTTATGGTTCTGATGTGCCTAAAACTCTGTTCACTTAGAATCAAAAATGACAGGTCTTAGAATTCAGAACAGTGCCTAGCACATAGTTGTCACTCAGCTTGTTGAATGAACGTGAACGTGGTCCACCCTTATTATTTTTTGCATTTTACAGAAACCCAGAAAGCTGATGTAGCCTGAGGACAAACTGCATATTATTATTATGTTGAGACAGAGTTTTGCTCTTGTTGCCCAGCCTGGAGTGCAGTGGTGCGATCTCGGCTCACTGCAACCTCCACCTCCTGGGTTCAAGGGATTCTCCTGCCTCAGCCTCTCAAGTAGCTGGGATTACGGGATGTGTCAATATGCCCAGCTAATTTTGTATTTTTAGTAGAGACAGGGTTTCACCATGTTGGTCAGGCTGGTCTTGAACTCCCAACCTCAGGTGATCTGCCCACCTTGGCCTCCCAAAGTGCTGGGATTACAGGCGTGAGCCACTGCGCCTGGCCACACTGGTTATTATTAATACAACTCGACCTAGAACCCAAGTGCAGTTACTCCCCTTCCTTGTTTTTACCTCCGCCTCTGTTTTGTAGCTTCTCTCAAGTGACCTTAATATAATTCTGCATGTGACAGTGGTTCTTCTGACATGACTGTTACATTCAGACATGACTGAAGTGTCCCACAACACCCTCTTCCTGCGTATTTTCTGCCAGCACCTTAACTCAAATTGTCAGCAAGATAAAGACATAAAGAGCTGTCCTTTGCCATAATTAAGAAAGTATTAATATGTTCTCTCTAGGGCAGAATATGAACAAATAATCCTTGCTGATGACAAGACAAATACTGGCTCATCCGTTATAAATTTATCTTATAAAACTCCCAAATCCCCAGGAGTAACAAATTGGTATGACCTGCTTTTTGATGAAATCAGAAAAGGACTTGCCTATCCTCGTGGCAGCAATTAACTGGTTAACAGCTGCTCCCTTTAGATAAGTGCATATGTTCGAGTTTACTGTGATTCAAGTTTACTGATTCCCTACATTTCTAACAGTTGTTACCTCTCTGGTGCTTGTAGGCATTCAGCCTTGGAACTTTGATAAAGCAGCTTAGTAAATTAGGAAGGATGTTAAGATCATTGATGCAACTATTCCTCTTTTCTTCTCATCAGATGTTTGAATCCTTGCATTTCTGACATAGTCCAACCTCTGCTTGCTTAAACACTCTTATGATAGGGATCTCACTATCTTCCTATGCAGCTGATACTAGGTTTTTTTTGTGGGTTTTTTGTTGTTGTTGTTGTTGTTGTTGTTGTTGTTGTTTTGTAACAGGGTCTCCTTCTGTCCTCAGGCTGGAGTGCAGTGGCACCATCTTGGCTCACTGCAACCTCTGCCCACCTCCCAGGTTCAAGCAATTCTCCCACCTCAGCCTCTTGAGTAGCTAGGATTACAGGCGAACACCACGACAGCCCAGCTAATTTTTGTATTTTTAGTAGAGACAGGGTTTCACGATATTGGTCAGGCTGGTCTCGACCAATATGGTGAATGGTTCTTAGAAGCTCCATGAGACTACCAGTCAGAACAAAATTGTCCTTAATGAAATATGGTTCATCTTAGTGATATGGTGTTCCAAGTAAGATCTTATGGTTAAGACCTCAATCTAGGTGTATTTTCCTGGTGTACCAAGGAGAGAACAAATAAAAATTTCACTTTTTGTGGGAATGAGGGAAAGAACTAGGCACCTTTTAATTTAGTACTTAGCCAGGTGTGATGGCACGTGTCCGTAGTCCCAGCTATTCAGGTGGCTGAGGTAAGGAGGATCACTTAACTCAAGAGTTTCAGCCTGTAGTGCACTATGCCACTTGGGTGTCCACTTTAAGTTTGGCCTCAATATGGTGATCTCCCAGGAGTGGGAGACCACCAGGTTGCCTAAGGAAGTGTGAACTGGTCCTAGTCAGAACTCCTGTGCTGATTGTAGTGGGATTGCACCTGTGAATAGCCATTGCCCTCCAGCCTGGGTAACATAGCAAGAAAGTGTCTCTTTAAAAAAAATTTTTGACTGATTTTTTTTTTTCAAACGGAGTCTTGCTCTGTCACCCAAGCTAGAGTGCAGTGGTATAATCTTGGCTCACTGCGACCTCCACCTCCCAGGTTAAAGCAAGTCTCCTGCCTCAGCCTCCTGAGTAACTGGGATTACAGGCATGTGCCATCACACCTGGCTGAGTACTAAATTAAAAGGCACCTAGTTCTTTCCCTCATTCCCACAAAAAGTGAAATTGGTAGGGACAGGGTTTTGCTATGTTGGCCAGGCTGGTCTGAAACTCCTGACCTCAGATGATCCACCCGCCTTGGCCTTCAAAAGTGCTGGGATTGCAGGCGTGGGCCACCACACCTGGACTTAACTAATTTTTTTATTTTTTTCTAAGACAGGGTCTCACCCTGTTGCCCTGTCTGGAGTGCAATGGTGTGATCTCAGCTCACTGCAAACTCTGTTTCTCAGGTTCAAGCCATCCTCCCACCTCAGCCTCCCAAGTAGCTAGGATTACAGTACATGCCATCGTGCTCAGCCAATTTTAAAAAACCTTTTGTAGGCAGGGCATGGTGCCTCACTCCTGTAACCCCAGCACTTTGGGAGGCCAAGGCGGGCGGATCACTTGAGGTCAGGAATTCAAGACCAGCCTGGCCAACATGGCAAAACCCTGTCTCTACTAAAAATACAAAAATTAGCTGGGTGTAGTGGCACATGCCTATAGTCCCAGCTACTGAGGAGGCTGAGGCAAGAGAATTGCTTGAGCCCTGGAGGCAGAGGCTGCACTTTAGCCTGGGTAACAGAACAAGACCTTGTCTCGAAAAGAGGTGGAGAAGAGAGGATGGGATTTCTAGAAATGAGTACTGACTATATTGCCCAGGCTGGTCTTGAACTCCTGGGCCCAAGAAATTTTCCTGTCTCCTGTCTTGGCCTCCCGAAGTGCTGGGATTACAGACATGAGTCACCATGCCCAGCCCTAATTAATTTTTTTAAGTTAATTTAGTGCTTAAAACCAGCTAATTCTGATTTCACAATTAAGTTTATGTTAAACTCTTTTTGTGGCTTGGGCACACTTTTATTCCGAATATCAATTATAATGTTTAATACTATGTGGCATCATATTACTGGTATTAACTTAGATTATGTGGCATCATATTGCTTGTGTCCCTGTAACCCTGAGCCCTGTGCCTAATGTTAAATATTGTCTTTGTTTTTTCCTCAGATAGCCCTAAGAAGGGTCTAAGAAGGACCTAACCCTCTCATTTTACAGATGAGCAACTTGTACAAAGGTCACCTAATTTGCCACCTAATGCCAATTCTAGGATTAGGACTGTAGCTTTTTTTCTTCCCCCCCCCCCCTTTTTTTTTTTTTGAGACAGGTCAAGATAGACAGCCTCACTGTCTTACCCAGCCTGGTCTCAAACTTCTGGCTTCAAGCAACCCTTCTGTGGTGGCCTCCCGAAGTGCTAGTATTAAAGACATGAGCCACTGCCTCCAGCCAGGACTATAGGTTTTTCTAGTCCTAGTCAAATATTTCTAGTAAATCATATTTATAAAATACCCACTTGGAACTGATGAGACAGGTTTCAGAAATGTTTGCTGCATACGCTTATTGTCTGAATCATTGTTTCAGGTTGCTCCAGTTGCTAAGAAGACTATGAACAAGTCAGAGAACCTGCTCTTTGCTGGTTCCTCATTAGCATCACAAGTCCATGCTGCTGCCGTCAATGGAGATAAGGGTGCTCTTCAGAGGCTCATTGTAGGTAAGCACTCCCCTTAAGTACAGAAACTTTAAAAGCAACTCTTTGTCCTGAGGAAGTTTGTTAATGTTAGTTTTAATTTGCCATGTACTCATGCATTTTAATGGAAATATGTTATTATTTATATTTTTTTCCAACGCATGGACAAGAAAGAAATTAAGTCCTAAAACTTAAAAATATGGGTTAGGATTAGGTGAAAAGTATTTGAGAAATTTCTATGTATTTAGCACTAAATTTAAATAGATATTCTAAGGTACTAAGGAAACGAATTCATCTTCATGTTAACAGAGATCTAGAATGACACCACGGATAATTTTTTAACATGTAATATATACCCCAAATACTAAAGTTTACAAATAATTTAATTTTTAAGGATTTAAAATGGATTCAATGTTTCCCCTGTCATTTGCATGTGTAAATGATATATAGAGATGTCCAATGTAGGAGTTCTAGAGGAGACAACAAAGTATATGGGAAAAACAGAATGGCTAAGAATTTTCTAGAATTTTAGCTTCCTGCTAAAACAGGGCGAAGATCCATCTATCGCAAATCCAGATATTCACAAGTTTTAAATCCAAAAGAGAATAAAATAAAAATATTTTCTTTGTAGTCTTTATTCACACCAGTGTCTGGGGCTCATGACTGACACCTTGGGCTACAAAATGAAGTCCAAATTACTTGAAGTTTCATAGCTGTTTCTTCCATCTTTGTTTTTACCCTCCATTTGCAGTTTCTCCAGGAACTTTTGCTGGTGTACCCGACCTCTGGCTAGGCTAGATGTTACTTCTATTTCCCAGTGACCTATGAATTTTGTTTCCATACGTTCTGTTCCCCCACATCTTTTCTATCTGCTACTCTGTTACCTTCTTCTGTGCTAAACAAACTCCTACTCATCATTAAAGACAAAAGTATTTTATCACATACTCTGTGAAGATTTCTCTCCCTCTGCTTATCCTTGATTTACCTCAGCTGTTCAATTCACTGGAACTTGACATTTTCCCCAACCTTCAAATCACTCAAACATTCTACCATCCAACAAAAACTCTTACTTTCAGCTCACTTACCTATGACAAACAATAGTTTTCATACTCACTGAGACCTCCAATCCACTATCTTCTCCAGTTTTGACCATCATTTTTTCTTCTGTCTTTTCCTTCTTCACTACTTAGCTCTGATTCTTTGTTATTAAAATCCTTCTCTTGGAAAAATTCGCCCCCCCTTTTATTTTTACCTTCTGTTGCACTTGACTGTTGCAATCCCGACTCTGGATGTACCAAACCCTTGCTAAGCAGTTGAATCCAGCTGAAAGATTGATAGCACCCCAAATTCATGATTACCCACTTCAGATAGGCACTCATCATACCACATTTTATCCATAATGAATGTTTCATACCTCTCACTCTACTGAATCTTCTGACTGCCAGTTCCCCCTCCATTCATTCTCTTTATTGCAGGAGGCTTCCTAGAGGAAATGAATACAGTAAGTAGGAACTCCCTCATCTTTAGCATGACATCTACAGATCTACCTCTGTCTGTACCCATCTTCTCTCTTTGTCTATCTGCTAAAACAGCAAAGATCCGTCTTTCTGTTAAAGGCCAGTTCTTCCACACATGCTCTGTATTTTGTCTCCTCCTGTCTTCTCAGGGACATTGCTTCTTTTGTTTTTCTCTTCGATTACAATATCTTCAACCTTCTTTGCTGAATTATTTCCATCAGCACTTAAATGTGCTTGTCTCCATTATTTAAAAATCCCATCTCTGTTTCTTCATCTACCTCTAAGTATTGCCATTCTCAACTTTGCCTCACGACTACATAGTGCACAAGCTAAACTGCGCTGTGGCTGTTTAGATAGAAATATATTTATGTCTATGACTTGGAAAAGATAGAAGTATATTTCATTCTCATAATATTGCAATCCCAACTCTGAATAGATCAAACCTATCTTCCTGGCAACTGCTAAGCAGTTGAACCCAGCAGTGTAATAGTACACAGGTATGTGGGCAGTCTAGGTTAAATAGATATCTTCATTTCACAAAACCATTCAGGTATGCTGCTGGGCCTTGGCTCTTCCGTTCTCAACATGATGCTTCTATTTCTGGGTCAAAGGCAGATAGTTTCATTATAGTCATAGCCCAGTCAGCAGGAAGGGGGAGAGAGAGCACAGGAAAGGCAATTTGTCATTAAGGAGGTAGACTAGACTTAGACACAAAGCCATACCTAGAACAAAAGAAGCTGAAAAAAAAGTCTTTCCCTAGGTGGTATCACACCAAGCTAAAACTCACAGTGCTCAATTTCTAAAAAGAAGAATGAAAGAATGAATGGGGGGGCAAGTATTGCTGCCTGTCACCAAAACCGAGATTCTTGGGCCAGCTGTACCCATTCTCCCCACTTATTTACCTTAATTCACTCTTTTATTAAAACAAAACATACTTTCTTATTTTGAAGTATACACATAGAGAACTACATACAACTTATATGTACAATTTAACAAATAAACATAAAGCAGACATCCACTTAAACCACCTAGGTTAAGGAACAGCACATGGTCAGTAACCGTAGAAGCCCCTAATATATCCTTCTCTCCCCACTACAGTAATTGGCTATCTTGACTTTTATAGTAATTATTACATTGTAGTTTTACCACCTACATATACATCCTTAAACACTTTAATTTTGCCATTTTTAACTTTTTGCTAAATTTTCCATGTTCACTTGAACTAAAAAATGTGTATATATTAGGCCGGGCGCGGTGGCTCACGCCTGTAATCCCAGCACTTTGGGAGGCCGAGGCGGGTGGATCAGAAGGTCAAGAGATCGAGACCATCCTGGTCAACATGGTGAAACCCCGTCTCTACTAAAAATACAAAAAAAATTAGCTGGGCGTGGTGGCGCGTGCCTGTAATCCCAGCTACTCAGGAGGCTGAGGCAGGAGAATTGCCTGAACCCAGGAGGCGGAGGTTGCGGTGAGCCGAGATCGCGCCATTGCATTCCAGCCTGGGTAACAAGAGCGAAACTCCGTCTCAAAAAAAAAAAAAAAAAAAAAAAAGTGTATATATTATACTTTTGTCATTTTCCTGCTCCTTTTCATTGTTTCTTGTTATACTTGGAATAAAATTTAGCAGGTTACATGTGTCTCTTTACCTGCCCATCCTCGTGTTTTACGACTGTCTTACAAGAAAAACTTGCTTTCTTTCAGTGTCTCACACCTGCTAAGCCCTTTTTCATCTCAGGGCTTTCACCTGAAAGGCTGTTTTCCCCATTCTCTGTCTGACTAACTCTTAGTCATCCTTTAGGTTTCAGTTTTAAGGTCACTTCGTCAAAGAGGCCTGCTAACCATCCAGCCTCAAGTTTTTTCATTGTATTATTCCCTCTTGGCCCTCTGTAGTGTTTCTTCATAGAACTTGTTTCAGATTATCACTGTATATTTATGTGTATGGTTATTTTAACATCTCTCTCCTCCATAAGTTAATGGCCTCTATGAAAGTAGACTGGATCTGTTTAATTCATCACTAAAGCCACAAAATTCAACACAATACTTGGCACATGGTAGGCACATAAGAAATATATTTGTTGAAGGAATGAATAAATATTATAATCATTCTTTAAGTTTCTTTTCTCCCAAGTAGTCTGTAATCATCTTGAGGGTCAGAACTAAAAATGAATTGAGTTGAATTAAATTTAATCGAGGAACAGGTTAAGACTAAATTCCATGAGAAAAAAAAAATTTAAGTCAGAATATATCAAGAAAAGGTACCATGTAAAACGAATTATTATTGCTTTAATTAAAAATATGACATCTAAAGAAAAAGGTGCAGTATTGTCGTAAATTAAAAACACTTATATTTATATGGCTTAGTCATACAGATTAATTAATGTGTTATTGTTAAAACTTGAAACCTTGAAAAGCCCCAACGAGGATATCCTTTAAAAGCAATCATGATATGAAACCGGTATATAGCTAATAAACTTATTTATAAATTGTTTTTCTGTTTTCTATTATCTTGTCTGAGAAACTTCTTATTAATTACTGACTGAGGGTACCCTCTCCTCATCTTTACGGAATTGTGCCATTATGTTTTCTGTGCATAGACAGTAATACCTTTGCTCTTGAGTATTTTCCAGCATTTGTATATTTGTACAAAAATAATAACTGTTTCATCTTAAATTTCAGTGTATTTTTTTTCTATGCATATGAATGCCAGGTCATAATTTCACTGTATTTTAAACCTTTCTTTATGTAGCACATGTTCGATAATCTCTAAATATGTGTTCTTTCTCTTTCCTAAACTAATGACATGGTACTACAGATGAATTTTTTTTTTCTTGCATGTTTGTTCACGAACTGCTCAGTAAATTCATTCACTTTAGCATTTTCTGTTTTCCCCTTTCTGTTTCCATGGTGAAGCATGTCAGTGATGTTTTTGACTCCATGGAAACAGATGAGTGTCTCTTTCTACGTACACAACTAATTAAGTCGAACACTTTCTATGTTGCCCATTGTCCTGGAGGAGGACTGAAGAGGCTTTTCTGAACGAAACATCATTTCAGTAGCAATTCTTAGTGTTTAACCTAATACAGTGGATTAATGTTTTACTGTAACTTACCGCTTCCTAGATTCAGATGTATGAGGGCTTACTTCTGAGCATTAAAAACATAAACATACTTAGTAAAATGTTTATATGCTATGGTTCTCATTTATAGACATTTAGCTTTTTCTCTTAATACCAAACTCAAATAATTTGTATGAATACTAGAAATGTAATTGATAGTAGAATTTAGTAGATTCATTTTAATACTATATAATATAGTATGGTAGAAAAAGGTATGATTTTACAGTAGATAAACCTGGATTTTAAATTCTATTATTTATTAGTAGTATTATCTTAACTAAGCCATTTAATTTTTAAGACCCAGTTTCCTCATCTTTATAGATTATAATATTTCACTTGCATGAGAGTTAAATGAAATAATGACAGTAAAATATCTACCGTGGTACTTGACA